GATGAAGCAGTTAGAAAATGGTTGGATGGATATGGCTTCTTGAACGGTTTTGCTTAGCCTGTTTGCCAGTAGTTTCTTCCAAGGCTTTTCTTCACCGATATCCAGAATTCCTAACAATTCATTGTGTGAAGAAGTTCCTCATATCCTGCATTCTAAATTGTTTTCCACTTAATTTCTGTTAATGCCTCCTCATCCTGGTTTCTGTGCTAAACCTAAAGTTTAAAAGACAAAATCTCCTTTATATTTCGAGTTGCCCAAATAGAAGAGTGATTGTGCGTGCTTTCTGGTTTGTCACAGAGTGCCAGAGTACCAGCTCATGTCCTGTCCAAATGCCAAAAAATGCCTTTTCCCTTCACTCTCTGACTATAGTAATTAAGAAGCAGAGGACGGGATATTGTTGAGCCAGATACCTCTTGATGTATCCTACATTCATTTTAAATAAAGCAACACAAACACTTTTTGAAAGATGTGGAGCACTGAACAGTCAAAGGTTTAATTAATCCTTGTTAATGAAGGATTCAGTGCTTTGAGCTTATTGATTAGTATTTTTATTTTTTTGTCCCTAGTTCACCACTGAGAAAAGGAAGAATTCTTTCTTTTCACATGGGAACACATGACAGTTTAAATCTTAATTAAGACCTTGGCTGTGTTAATTGAGAGTAAAAAATCAAAGGTCTGTTAAATGCCTATAGTAAATACATATCATAAAGTTATAATAATGGCACAAAAATGTCTCTTTATTTAGTACAGTATTTTCTTTGTTCACGATTAACATATTTCTTTCTTTTTCTGTCTATATACAGTATGTATCCAAATTTTGAAGATGAGCATGTGCTGTCATGGGTTTTCATTGCCTGGAAACTATCATTGTTTCTTTGTATAAAGATTCTCTGGTATCACTCAAACTGGTGAATTAAGTACATCTATTTCCTCATTCAGATGGAAATATTTTTAGCCTATTACTTCTGAACTTAATTTCCATCATTTGTAGCTGTTTCCTAATCTGAGCTATTAAAATAGTTTTGCTTCTAAATTAGCCTGTGGGTTTGTTTAAAGCTTAACAAAACAAAAAGAAAAATGAAAATGGCTTAAGGTCTGGAAGAGATTCAGTTTTGTTTTTGCTGGGACTGATTTTCTTTTTAGGTCCCTCATTTATTTTTACATTCCAAGAATGTGCAGTGCTCACCTGTATAAAAAGATACACATATAAAAAATGTAAAATCACACATACATTAACCAAACAAAACAAAATAAAAACAGTAGTTAAATATATAGGTTTTTAAATAATGTTTAAAAGTATTCACAATCACAGTCTCGTAATCGGGCAAAGAATGCCAAGGTTATGGTGAGGATACTATAATTTATTGTGTACTGCCTGGTCTTAGGTATGATAAGAGGTCTCTTCCTGGCATATCTTAAATTGCATATCAGACTATACTTTGCATTACATCGGGATGTTATCCTGAGGCTAGACAATTCAGAGCTTTAACATTACCTCTATATTTCATAAGGAGCCAATACAGTTTACACAAGACAGGATTTATATGCTAGGAGAGATTTTAGTATTTAGTACCTTAGTAAATAACCCAATAAGTAATTCATTATGGTAATCTAATCTTGATTGAATAAAGGTAGTTTTTTATCATTAGTTACAGACAGCAAAGTTTTTACCTGAGCGATGGTAAGTTCATGAATGATAAAATAATATACTGATGATGATTCTAACACGACATGATCTCCAAACTACAATTTAGGGTCTAAAATAATACTGAGATTTCTGACGTCGGTGAAAGGTTGAATTTTAGCATCAGCAGCATACCACTGATATCACCAACTCTGTTTATCTGTTGCTGAGAATATTAGCATGTCTTATTAGTTTAATGTAAGAAAACTCTGTTGTCTCTATATCTTAATACCTATCAGGAACATGTATAATGCAGAATTTGCCGCAATAGTATTTGATTTAGCTCAAATGTATGTCAGGGTTTCATTAGCATAACAATTAAACTGAAGTCCATGATGATGAATACTCTGGCTAAGAGGCAACATGCTAAATAATATAATAATAATAAAGACCCTAACACAGAGCCCTGCAAAACATCTGGAGCCACAGTGATAGGTTAAAAACAGCCAACATTTGCAAGATGGCTTCTGTTACCCAGTTGAGAACTAAATGGTCAAAGAGATGAACCAGCTGTCCCTAAATAACTTTCCGTATGATCTAGGGAAAACTTTACAGTATCATGATTTACATATCATGAACATGGTTTACAGTATCAAAAGCTGCTATATTAAAAGCTGAATATAAAATGACAGATTCAGCAACCATCAGGAAGTTATTATTTTAACAAAAGCAGTTTCACTTCTGCGTCTGAACTTAAAGGCATGGACAGCTCATTAGATGAAAGGTGGCATTGCAATTAGGCTGCAGCCATCCATTCTGGAATTTTTGCAAGAAAAATACAATTATTTAACACAAGTGACACAATTGCAGACTTTAAATCAGATTTCAAGGGCTTATTAGTTAGTAGCTAACTAGAGAGTAACAAATGAACAAAGTACAGAGAAACTACTTGTAGATTTGAGTAGGAACTTAGGAATAAGATACAAGACACATGTAGTGCATCTCATTTTAGCTACCAACTCAGCCACACAGGTGGAGTCTACAACAGTAAATGAGAGAAACTCAGGGTTACTCATGGTAACTTTCATGACATTTGTATTGTAGTGTATTTCAGCCTCTTAATGTGTATCCTAGCCCATAGTGTTGTGAACCTAGTGTTAAGATTAGTTGTAAGAGAACTGATTAATAACAGGAGCTAAAATGAAAGGTGAAGGGCTTGGTTATCATAAAGATTGTAGTTAAACAATGGCTTCAAAGAATATGTTGTATGGAAAAACAATCCATTTATTTGTACTTCTGTACTTACATGTAAACCTGGAATACTGGCCAAGTAGTATAGTGATATAATGGAGATTCATAGGTATATACAGTAGTTATATAGTATACTAAAGTGGTCTTATGCATAAAGTAAAAATGCAGATCAGAAATACAGTGTATTGAAGTGTACTGAAGTGAATAAAGAAGTTTAGCATATGATGCTTATGATCTGATCAGTGCTGGGTACAATAGTTTAAAAGCTTAAAAGACCATGCTGCAAAGATAGATTAAGGCAGTAGTTGGTGCAGTCTGAACAGGCATTTGAGGAGGTACTTCCAAGATGTGAGAAATTTTGCAGTCCTGATGTTTCCCTGCAGCTAGATTCACTTCAAATGAGCAAGGAGTCATGGAAGGACTTGGTCTGTTAAAGGAGTAGTTTTTTTTATCTAAACAAACACTGAGGATATTTTTACTTCCCGAACAGTTTTATAGTATCCTTCTACAATTCACTAAAACATAGTAGATGAGTGCATAATGAAGTATTGATCTATCTAAACACTTTCTTGCTTGGTTGCATTAGTTGAAATGGTTTAGCTGCAGAGTGACCTTGATAAATCCCTCATGATTTGCAGTTTTCTAGCTAAGGATGCAAGTGACATTACACATAGGCATTACACATACACATAAGATATACAGCCTTGCTGCTTAGATCGATACTTGAATGTTTTACTTTTCTGATCTATAAATTACACTTTAAAGCAGATTAACACAAGCTGCACAAACATGTGGTACATTAATTCAGGAGTCTGTTCAGGACCTTAAAATAATCTCTGCATGAAACTTCTGGTGCTAAAAAGTCTTTTTAGTTTAAGTGAATGAAATGAACTTCTAAAGAAACCTATTAATAATAAAAAAACACCAGCAGAAACATAAAGCTATAACAAGCTGTACCAATGTTACCTAATATGGGGGATCGATTTAGAAAATGATGAAAATTTCATTTTTTTTATGTTTAAATTAAAGAAAATGAATCTTATCTTCCATTTGAAAAATGTTTCTAACAGGTTCCCCTCCAGGGACAGCAATTCCATTGTGTAAGACAGTACAGCAAAAATAAAATTAGATCTCTTTAAAAGAGACACCATCTTGTTTAAAATAATGCAATTTAAGCCAACTGCACAGAAACTGGCAAAACAGAACAGTAACCTTACTGATAATGGTGTTCTGCTGCTTTTTTTGGCCAAACATTCTCTTTCATGGGAAAAAGGGGGTAAAGCTAAGGTATGTACAGTAAGTGCTGTACTAGTAGGACAAGCCTTGTCATTTTAATATTAAGCAAGTCGCCTTTCATGTCTTAATGTGATTTTCGGCGTACGTGATTGATTTGAAACATGCACATCAAACCATTTTTTTTCCACACTGTGAGCTCACAAAGCCTGAAGCTTAACCAGAGCCCCATCCACAGGCCAGATGTGGTGCTCACAGATAGGACTGGAGTTCACTCACTCCTAGCAAGCAACTGGGGCTGCTGTTGTTTGGTAAGCCAAGCAAGTTTGTCTGGCTTAAACCAACCGCATTGTATGCCACCCTTTTTCCAGTGATGCCAATCAGCTGGCTAATAGCATTGCCCAGATTTGAGCCAGGCTTGTGATCTACTGCATATTTATCAAAGTGTAACCCTTGTGGAAACTCTCTCAAGTGTCAGGATGTTTGCTTTGAAAATGTAGTAAGACAAGCAGCTGATTTATGGTAATAGTAACTTAAGTGATTGCTTCCTATATATTTATTTAGTAGAGCAATCTTAAACAGAACGGTTTGGCTAGAGAGAGTCAATGACTTGAAACTTATTCATTTTTCAAAACTTATGGACAGCAAAATATTTGTTTGTATGAATATTACCAAAATATTATACTGCTCAATTTAGCAGCATGATCTGAAGATCTAATTCAAATCAGTGACATCAGCACCTCTTTGGAAAATGGGTAAGTTTCTACTCTTCATCAAAGGCGTTTTGTCAGAACTTTAAGCAGGAGAGAGTAGGTTGGTGCTTGAAGGAACAAGAATTGTGTCTAACACTGTACTGTGGAAGTTTACAATTTGTCTCCTCTTTCTGTTGCAGATCTTTCAAAGAACAGGTTCATGGAAATCCCACCAGAAGTGTGCCTCTTTGCCCCACTGGAATCCTTAAATTTGTACCACAACTGTATTAAGTGCATTCCGGAAGCTATCATAAACCTCCAGATGCTAACATACTTGAACATAAGGTCAGTGGTATTTTTGCAATCATTTTCTTTTTCCCTACTATTTTAGAACAATTTGAGTGCTCTATTAAGAAATCAGAACAATATTGATTCAAATCACTGTACTCAACACAATGAATAACTAAAAGTTAACTCTGTGCTGAATAATATAAGAAAAAAACAGCATTTCCTCTGTGGAGCTTTCTGCAGGTTTTCAGGTTTTAAAGTTGGGGTACTTCTGTGGTTATTGTTTTTGTCTGATGGTATCAAATTTATTACTCTGCGTCACCACCTTGTAGCTTGATCTCATCTGCCTAGTCAGGTTGTGCCTGTTCTGTACTTTGGTGAGAGAACTCCTGAAAGAATTGAAAATTCTCTAACGTCATCCATTTTCAATTTGGTTGGCATTAAACTTGCTAGTTTTTTTTACTGAGTTACACATGTGTTAATATTATTTGTGCAATGGAATGAGTGACATCAGTATTCATGGATTTTCTGTGGTGTTGTGTAGCTTTGCTTTTCAGTGGCCCATGAGATTGACATTTGAAATTAACAAAAAACATTCTTGGTTGTCAGATTGTGCTGTATCTTTCTATGAGTAAAGAGTGAACAGTAAACAAGTGAACAGAAAGTGAAAGATTCATTCATTGATATGTTTCAGGAAGGAGGTGGATTTAAAGTTTTTGGCGAGTTGTATCTTCAGGTAGGTCAAAAACAAGTGTAAGCTGGAGTTCGTCCAGCTGACTGCTGCTCACTCTTCTGTGATTAACATTGAGAGACAAGACAAGGAGCAGACAAGAAGTAGAGTTACAGTTCCGATAAGTGGAACTGAGTTCTGCTGTAGCCCAAGAGGTGTGAATTTTTCAAGTGATACTGTATGTTTATGAATTGTTCTCTTCTGAGCTGTCCCAGATTAGAAGCTCTGATACTGTTCTTAAGGGAAATGAGACCATTTGCGCCCCATAATGTCCAAGATGTGAGTTTCCTGAAAAAATGAACAAAATTGTGTAGCCGAGAACATTCCTTATTCAGATAATGAGCTGAGACTGTGGTTATAATTATGGAAGCTTTTTTTTGCGTCCAGTGTGTCTGCTTTTGTTAAGAAGGAATTGCTCATTGTGAGGATGACTAGGTACTCCAGTGGTTGAAGTGAAGAGCTTTTTCTCAGGAGCTTCATGGTTCAAGCCCTGATTTGGCTAGTGTTTTACTGTACATGCTGTTATTGAGGTACTGAGCCTCCTTGTGCTCAAAACATGGCTCACCTCCTGTCCTCTGTCTTTATCTGTTGAATACAAGAACCAAGTAAATGATAACTTGTTATTGTTTTGAGGTTCTGAATAATATTTAAATAATATAATCGAGCATTGAGCAGGTTATTTTCTAATGGCAGTATATCTGGCCATTTTTTTAATCTGCTAAAAAATGTTTTCTTTGTTCAGTTGTGAACAATGATGAGGTGCCTGTCGGTTTTTACACAGTGGACCTTAAAATTATTGGTTATTTGCTTTTGTGTATTTGAAGTGGCACAGCAACACAACAAAGCAAATATGCTGCATCTGTAGTTTCATGAAAATGTTCACAAGGCAGATGGTGGTTGCTTTTTGTGAGAAGGAGAGTCTGTTAACGTCACTGGACCACGTCTGTGGCACATACTTCAGATTGTTTTTTAACTTTGTCTGACAGATTTCATCGGGCTCTCAACACTTCTTCATGCCTTTCTGCTTTCCTGCTTGCAGACCAAAGTTATGTCTGCTGTATCTCATACAAAGCTTTTCGTATTTTTCTTTTTTTGCCATCATCACATCCAGATATAATTAGATTATCAGTGATAACTATTTCTAAATGTGGAATTTCTTTCTTTTTTCCGTTATTCAGTAAATATTTGATGGTGTATTTTGGGCAACTGACAAAGAATAATGCAGATGGAAGAAAAGCAAAGCCACAGAGTAAACCGGCTGCAGTGACAGGGTACAGCGTGTAGGAGCTTGCAAAGTGTTTGTGCTTTGCAAAAACTTTGAAATAGTGTTCTTGCTCCATATAGAATAATCCCAAAGCACTTTTGGGAATTGATGTTCTTTATCTTTAATTATTATAGAAGGCCCTGAATATAACACTTTTTTTTTTAGTTTTATTTCCATACCTGATAAAGGATTTTTGTGGGTAGCAATTCCTTGTTCTATGTCTTATTGTCTAGGTGTCTTGAAATTGATAATTTGGTACAGTATGTGTTCTATTGATCCGTCAGTATGTGTATGTGAAGAATATGATACTCATCCTAGACTTCCTATGATTTGGGAAAGTTTAGGTGTGTAAGAAGAGGGAGGTCAGGCTGATGTCCTGGAGAGCTGAAAGCCTCAGATTTTCATTCCACCGAAAAATCTTAATTGCATAATTCAACTAATTGCTTTAATTATAGTTTTACAGTTTAAAAAAAATACAGTCCTTTCCAGCTCTTTTAGAAGTGATGAATTAAACCGACGTACAAAAAAAGATGCAGGAATTGGCCTTGCATGATACGACATTGGACATCTCTGTGTCATAGCTTTGAAGACAGGTTTATGCCTGCTTTCAAAATTTCACTCAGCTAGGTGTTCCAGTACCAACGACCAACCCCTGAGAGCCCATGTGTAGCCAATATAAGTCATGTTTGTAAATCTGTAATTTTGACATCTTGCTGTTAGCAATTGGGCAGTTTTTTTAATAATGAATCATGATTTCTTCTCTTGCATTAGTCTATGTGTTGCATTTCAGGGCTAAGGTATTTTAGTGTGTCATAAAGCATTACTTAGAGCATTTATGTGTTTGGGCAGCCTTAGTAATTGCTCACAAATGATATATCCTGTTTGTTGCATTAATATATGTCTTATACAGTACATCTAATCTAAGCTTCTTTAAAGAAAGCTATTTTGCTGTCAACAGCAAATTAATCTGTTTTTGTTAGAGACACATTTTAAAACCCATTGAAAACCAATTCCTTTGTGTACAGAAGCATCATTGATGTCTTCATGAGCAAATGTTTATATCTAGTCTTTGATTTTTCAATAAAACACTTTTTGAGTATTTATTGCAAATAAGATGCACAGTAAGTGATTTGGCTCTTCTTAAACTCTTTTAATGCAATTCTGTCATAGCATGGGTCATCCTGATAACATATAACATAATATTTCTAGTGAGATATTATTGTTGTTGGTGACATAATAACAATTATTGGATACAAAACGTAGAGATTCACTTTTCAATTTAGCAGAAGAACTGCTGCCCTGTCTAAAAATATATCCTGTGCTCTGCTTCTCTTTTTTGGACTCAGACCTACATTATCTACAGTACTGTTTTTTTTTTCTTTTGCAGTCGGAACCAACTATCAACGCTGCCAAAATACCTTTTTGACCTTCCACTAAAAGTGCTAGTAGTAAGTAATAACAAGCTGGTGTCCATACCGGAGGAAATTGGAAAAGCAAAAGATCTCATGGAGTTGGTGAGTCATGTGGTTGACTCCGTATCACTTTGGTATTGTTTTCCAGTCAGCTGTTAACTTTATTCACCCCCTTATTTCTTATTTTCTAGAAATTTGTCTTTTTGATAGACTTTTAAAATCTTTCATTCTGAAAAAAATAAGTGCAGGAAGTTCTGCAAATAGCTAAAAAGTGTGGCATTTCTTTGTTGAGTGACATAATACAATTTATTCTTTGTTATTCCTTGCTATGTGGTGGGATTTCAATAATGTTATGTAAACCATAAGAAATTACTCATTGTAGCTGTTCAGAAAGTAGCCCCACTTCATTTTCACACACACTCTACTGAACATGAAAGGGCCCACTCAGATGTATATAAGCACTTGTAGGTTGAGTGACTGTTAATGACCTCATATTAATGTTTCATTCTTGTTGCAAGATCTTAACCTGGAAATCTGCTGTTTGTTTTCTTAGGTTAATACATTTCCCCCAAAATGGCGTGTATAGCACATAAGGCATAATTGTGCTTTTTATAGAAAGTCTAAACCCTGGGAGCCAGTGTTCTTATGCGACGGTGACATGGGAACAGAAATTCTCTTTGCATGACAGGAATCTCCACTGGGAAATTTCATTTCTCCATATCAGTGCAGATGATGTTAAAGTATTGTGACTGAAGTTAAATGCAGGGTGTTTTACCTTTCTAATTGGAAAATTTCTAGGCAGTTTATCCATCCTGGCAGGCTCTTTGTATTTGGCTCAAAGGGCCATGCATGGTTCTTTTTTATCAATCAACACAGTTCTGAAGTGCTACAATAGTACAACGACACAGTTAGCATAACAACTTCATGATTGTAGTATGAATGTACATATTGATTTTTCTCCCAGCAGCTAAGATAGACATGCGTCAAAGTTTGATCTATTAGCAATCTCTCTTTATGATTATTTTGCCACAAACATTTGTGGTGTGGGCTTGACCAATAGTTTTTTTTTTTAAGTTTTAAAACCTGATATAATAGTGAATTGATGTTTAGCATTTGTAGACATTTCCACAGGATTTTAGGGTTTTGTTGTATATTTCAGTAGTAATAGTGCTTGTTCAGTCTAGCCTTAGTCTCAGGCATCTCTACTTTGAGCCTAGATTATATCTCTAGCTGACTATGAACAGAATTGTCTGAGTGTCTGCGCATTGTTGGCAAGAGGTTAGCTGGGTGAATGGGTGGCTATCAGTCAGCCAGTTTCCCTCAGTACAACAGCGACTCTTGTGACTTCCCAGGCTCCTGCAGGCTTGTAGTGAGGTCAGTGATGACACTGCTTCTTCCATCAGTACTAAGTCTTCTGTCAGGTGCTATGGAGCTTGTAACACATGACTGGCTTTAACAGATAGGTGTGGCAGAGTAGCAGGATTGCTGACTCAGAGCTGAATTTAAACAACTGACAATTTCAGATTGTGGCATTGTATGGCATTATAAGGTGGATATACTGTATAATACATAATCAGTGATTTCAATGAAAAAAATGTGTAGCAAACCAAATGTGTTGCTTTGTAGTTCTGACAATAAACAGTATAAGATAGCTAATTATTCCAGTAATTGAAATCTAGGTACAATAGAACTGTCCTAGATGCTGCTACATTGCATAAAATAAAAAAGGTGTAGACCAGAAAACCTTTACACATTCATATATCTTCAACTTCCTGATTCTTCCTTTTAAAAACTGTATCCTTCCATAATCATTCTATAGTACATTACTCCTGTATTGATTTGATAACCTAAATTCACTATTCAACCACAAGAGCAAAATCAAGGCCTTGTCACAATTTATAATTATACGATAGAAAATTACATTTACTGTATTTTCTATTGCAGTCTTCATGTCTAGTCTCTTCAATGCGCTGCATGGTACAAAATAAGAAACAAGCTGACAGAGCTCATATCATAGTTAGTAATCACTTCTTTAGAAAACATTCAGCATTCTGACACCTGGAATGGAGTTCCAGAAACAAGATATCTGAGAGCTGAAGTATTTAGCTCCTGGTTGTTGAACACTATTCTTAGGAATAACCACCAAATCTGCTGTTTGCCAGAAAGAAATATAAGGAAAGTGGTTTAGAGAATGCCGGCTGCTGGGAAGGTGCCCTCCCAAGACCATCCCGTGGTCCTGGCGCTGTGGAGTATCTCATGTTTTCTTTTTGTGTTCATTTTGGTGCCTTTTGTGTCCCTCGCAGGATATAAGCTGCAATGAGATTCAGGTTCTGCCCCCGCAGATGGGAAAACTCCAGTCCCTGCGAGAGCTCAACATCCGGAGGAACTGTCTGCAGGTGCTCCCGGCAGGTGAGCTGTGCAGTTGGCTGGTAGACAGCCTGGCCGATATGAGCTGTTGGCCAATCCGGGGCTCAGCAGGCGCCAGGCACCCTCTGCTCAGGGCAGAGCCCCGTTCTCCAGAGGTAACTGGTGTGAATCTGAGTTATGACCAAGCCAGGTGTGATGAGCTCGCAGTCCTCCGAACCAAGGCTGTGTGTTGTCCATCTAATCCCACAGCTACTCTTCCCACTACTGGCTTTTTGTTGAAAAGAAAAACAAAATGGCTGGACACTGTACATCAGGGTCCACCAGCATGTCACTCTCTCCCTTCCTTGTCCAGCAGGAGGCCAAGCTCATTAACAAGGGGTGTTTCTGAAACCTGTCTCAGACAATCTTTTCTCTGAATTATTCCAGAGCTTGCTGATCTTCCTCTCATCAGGCTAGACTTTTCCTGCAACAAAATCACTGAGATTCCAGTATGCTATAGGAAATTAAGGCATGTTCAACTTATCATACTGGACAACAACCCAATGCAGTCACCACCAGCACAGGTCAGTCTGTTTGCTTTTTATTTCCCGTAATTTTTTCCAAATAATTGTCCTTTGAAATAGATTTTCAGATGCTTTATGTATACATGACTTACAACCATGCAATATTACCACACTGTTCTCTACTGTATCATAAAAGTATGAAGCATTGTAGTGTGTATTGATTGTGACATAACTGTTTCTGAACTGTCAGGCTACTAAGCACTGTTAATAAATCAATAAATCATATAAATCATAACACCAAGTGGTAGTTTTTTAATGACAATTAAGGGTCGGAATGTTCCTTATGGACTGTTTGCCACAAAAAGGAAATTAAATATGGAAGCAGTGACCATTAATAAAAGATTTCTTTCAAATAACAGTGAAATGAGCTAAGATAAATTTTATAGCAGTCTCTTATATTTGTCACTCACAACTCTCAAAGTATAACACAACTACAGTACATTGTATTAGTCCAAGTCCCATTATCTACTTTAATGAATGTTTCCCAGTTATAAATTAAAACTGTAACTCTGTTGAGGTCTGTTATTATATTTTTAAATGTCTTAAAAAGCTGATTGTCTTTCTCAAAAACGTTTTTTCTCTCAAAAGTCCATCTCTCCTGCCATCTAGAGGACAGTTGCATTTCTACAGTTTTGTTTTACAGAATAGTTCACTGCTATCCCTGTGCATTGTGTGAAGTGCTAATTTTAGTACTGCCATTTTATCTTCCAGGTTTCTTCAGCCAGCACACTTAAATGCCTTCTCTGTAAAGACTAGTCTAACAGAAAGACAGTCAGATTTCACAGGTGCATTGGCTGTCAGTCTAAAACAAGTAAGGGGTGGTAGAGGAGAAAACTGGGCTCGGGTTTGTGCCTCTTTTGTGTCCTTTCACATTATGGGAGTCACCATTAGGGCATATTGTTGACATATGGTTAACATCTCATGTTTAATGTATTTGGTGGTTTCCTTTCAGATTTGCTTAAAGGGTAAAGTGCACATTTTTAAATACCTGAACATCCAGGCCTGCAGACAAATGGACAAAAAACCAGACTCCCTAGACCTTCCTTCATTAGGAAAACGGATCCTTCAACAACCCCTTACTGACAGGTGTGCTTTAAAAAATCTCTTTTCATTCTGTTCTACTAGATCACAGTGATAAGCGTTAAATCACATCTCTTTCATTACCACATATCCAATTCAGGGTCAAGGCCGCCCAGAGTCTATCCCGGGAAGAAGTGGGCACAAGGAGAGATACATCATAGGATCTGTTACATTCAGCAAATAAATAGTAACTGTGATTTAAAATTTGCAGAAATATGTCGAGTTTAAGTTTGTTTGCTGCAGAGGTTGTGTTCATTTCTTTTCACTTAGAAAATTAACAAAACATGGACAGTAATTTGCCCAGGGGGTGCCCAAAATTGTGCATACAATTGTATATTCTAACTATGTCAGTTATTGCTGCTGATCGTTTGGCCCCTTTCCCACGTCTGTCAGTTACGAGTTTTGCGTAAAGTGTTTTCCATCTATACAAACTCTTCACACCCCTTGTTTAATGAACTCCAGTTACTCCACTCAGAATGCAGATTTCCCATCTTAAAAACAAACAGCTATAAGTTCTCATTTATACCGGTGGCTATAAGCTTGCTTAACAAATTATTCTTTTGTGAATGTATATATGTATTGTTTGTTTATGGGTTCTCTTTATATTGTCTGCTGCTGTCTATAAAATTGCCCCCTTGGGGATAACTCTCTCTAAAGGTAAGCTCTTAGTTGTGCAGTATGTTATTGGGGGAAAACAGAACCTGCATGCTGATTGGGCCTCTATCTTAAATTTTAATCTTAAATCTTGAATCTTCTCTGTTGCCCTTCCCTGATGAATATTAGACCTTTAGCTGCAAGCATACAGGATCACAAGTTGTAAAGCTGGTTTGCAAACAGCAGATATTTTCACCAAATAACCACTGGAATCATTCAAGACAACGTTTACTTTTCAGTTTTGTATGAAGTAGCATAAAGTGGGGGAAAAAAAGCAATGGCCCCTGAGATGCTCTTGTCAGAAATTTGAGTATTTTTCCTTAAGATCATTTTGAACACCAGTAGTAAATCCACTATGATCTAAATGCAGAAAGACTTGTTTAAGTAACACACACACAGAAATTTAAATAACTGTTTTTTTTTTCTTTTCACACCTCTCCCAGTGTGAAAGGAAACCTCTTCTCCACAATCATTGATTTGCTGTATGATAAATTGAAAATAATGACACTTTAGCTGCTCATCCAGTAGTGGTAAGTGCATAGCACGAATTGAATCCCATAGTCCAGACATCGCTGATTAAAGTTTGTTCTCTCATTAGATGTCTGTGACTGGCTTTCATTAAGCAGCACAGCCTAACCCACCAGGCAGCTGCAGAGTTATCTGGGTTTCCTTGGCTCAAACACTCGTTGGGTACCTGTAATCTTTCTCAGCTGTTAGTGAGAGACAGATTACTTCTCAGCACTCCCCTTTTTAAAATTAGGCCCTGTATTCCAGTTTTATGTAATCTGGTGAACCTGGTTTTGTCGTTACCTGGGATTAACTGTGATTTGGCATTTGTGAGTTTGCATCATTTTCGGGTTGAGTTTTCATTAAGCCCTGTGTTCAACACCCTGTGAAGCTTGTACTATGACAAGAAGCAAATGGCCTAGAGGATGAGTGCAAAATTTCATTTTTTCATTCCACACGATGGTTTGAGGGCTGTAGTGATTTCAATTCAAGCAGTCAGGAGTTCAGCATTCAGTTTTCAGTATAAACTCCTGCGGATTGTTCTAGAATTGTCAGACTTATTAAGGTGTAATGATTTTTTTTTTTCAGTATGGAGGATTTTTATCCCAGTAAAAGTCATGGACCTGACTCTGGCATCGGCAGTGACAATGGTGACAAGAGATTATCGACAACAGAGGTAGAGTGCTCCCCCTTCCAGGATTCTTCTGTCTTGCTTTCTTTTCTGTTGGGGTCTACAGCTGTCATGCTTCTTTACAGTGACAGAAAGCTGGAGTTGTTTTAATAAGAATTTCTGATCATAAGAGAATAGTATGCATTCATCTTTTTATCGCCTGTTGCACAGAAAAGTTGTAAAACATGAATCCCAGCAATATTGGTACTCTGATCTCTCCTCACCTACAGTATGTAGTTGTTGAGGACCTTTACTACCTCAACAACCCTTTCTAAAATCACCTTTAAACATGGTTTATGTTCCTTACACAATAAATTTGCTTTTCTTAGCCCATTTACCCACAGTTAACTCAAAACACTTACACATTCACCTAACTGGTCATTTCCTGTAGGTTTTCCAGTATACAGTAAAACATGGGCAGACCTACACTTACATGTGGTAAAGCTGACAAGAAGCAGCAGTCACATTAAGAAGGTAGAAGTCACATTAAGGAGTAATTTGAGCAAGGCCACATTATAGAAACCCAGAGTCAAATTTAGGTAGGTAACTGAGATTAACTCTCCTACTTTTACCAACAGTGTAACAAGACCTTTGACTGCCAAGTAGTTAGGATCTTAGTTTAATGTTTCATCCTAAAGGATAAGTACTCCCATAGCATATTGTCATTCTTTCTGGTTATTTTTCAGGGGCCTTAGTTTGGAAAGTCTGGTTCTGAGTTAATATTGCCACATATTGGTCTATCAACACTGACTACAATCTAGTTTTCCATAGTACTCAGCAGGCCCAGTCTTGCTGAGCTTCAGAGATCTGATGAGAGCAGGCCAGAAGGTGGTACAGTAACTCCGCTGTAGAATTTAATACACTTCAGCAGGATAAACACTTAAACAATATATTGCAAAGGAACACGTAATAGGTGTATTCAAAACACTTACACCTGAAGAAGGCTTCACATGTTGTGTTTTCTCTTTTTTCTTTTCAGTATGGAATAAACCTATTACTTGTTCCTTTGCAGACTACGTATGCTGACGCAGCTACCCACCTGAACTAAACAATGTACTGTATGCTAAAGCATGGCAGACAGTATTTAGAAACTGTACGTTTTCAAATTGGAATTCTGCAGCAGTTGTTTAAAACCCCAGCAGAATTCCTGTATCTCAGTAATGCACTGTGATGCTGTGCGTTTTGACTGCTGACACCTTGTGTTTGTGCGGCTCTGAATGAAAATGCACTCTTACCAAGTGGGAAGAGAAGAGTATCCTGTGTACCCAGGTTTTCAAATATATATAAATCTAAATATATACCACATGTGATTGGGTTATATAAAGGCAGTGTAATTTACAGTGTAATAATACACCGTAAATAATGTTCTCAAAAGTTTCCCTTTTCAGACATAAGAAACTGGTATTTGAAGTGCTTGATAGCTATACCTTTAGGGAAGGAAAATAACTCTTGGTTAGGATACATTCTGAACTGGTAAAATATTTCTAGCCTTACAATTTATATTATTTTTAATAAATAATAATAATGAGTATATGATTCATAGTTCATTATATTTAAAATTTTACACTGCTGGTTGCTGCTAATTTAAATGACTAAAAACAAATTTTATAATATGTGGTTAATTAGTTATTTTAGCAACAAAAATATATATATATTTTCTTTCCAGTAAATTTAATGCATTATGTATTATTATATTTGAACAAACATAACCTATTACATATATTGGAGATTAATGCCATAGATTAAAACAATATATGTTAAAGCATGGTAGACAGTATTTGTGTTCTTTTCCATATTGTTTTCAAACTGGAATTCTGCAGCACATACCTGTATTTCAAATTTTATCAGAATTCCTGTGCTTCAGTCAGTGCACTGCAAAATATATTAAAATATGCCATGTATTGATGACATTTCTATAGCATGAATGACTTATTTTAAATATTTGATCAGTTTAGATTTGTTTTCAAGGTGTTAACATAAATGTTTCAGATAATATCTATAGGTTTTTAGATTTTATTCAGAAGAAGCATTTTAAATGTCCTGTGCCTGCTTTCCACAGAAGATGTGTGCATTTATTTATTGTTGAACTGTTTTTGGAAAATAAAAGTATCATATTTTTTTGCTATGCATTAAAAATATTTTGAAAAGGTGGGATGCTGCTTAAAATCCTGATTTTGGCAGTGAGTGCTCCCTGTGATTATCATTGGGAATTGTGGGAATCTGTGGTTTGAAGTGTTAGGCCAAAAAGAATGATACTCCTGCCTTCTACACCAAACAATATATAGATATGGATGCTACAGAATGAATGGGAACCTATCTTGCTATTCTAAAAATATATCCACTAACCAGGATAGACCATTTTTAACCTAGGGATTCTTCTTACAGGAAATCAGAGTTTCCTAAAAACAACACAATGGCAAACTCTCTTAACAAGGTTCAAATACTTAACTCTAGTCTTTAAGGCTGATAGGAAGAACCTTCCCCCGGCAGTGTCTCTTCCCCTCTTCCCCTTCCCTTCCTCCCCTGGTGTACCTGCCAAATGAGGAGTCGAGAGAGTACAGAAAAGAATGGTCAAACATTTTTGTCACTTTTTGTCAAAAGGATCTGACAATAGACAGGTATAGGTGTTTGATGTTAGTTTGTTAGTTGCAACAAAAAGGGGGCATTATAAGAAAAACGTTCCATGTTACACAATAGGAAACTGTGCCAAGTTTTATAACAAATGCGTACAGCCATTAAGGATGTTATGATGGGATCACATTTGAAATATTCCAGTTAAGTGGGATATTGTTTATACAAGGTCTGGGTATTTTTTGCTTGTCTGTATTGCTTTTTACATCATTGTAAATGTCAGCCCTGACTGTGACCCTGATTTCCCTGATGTCAAAATGAGAAAGAGTTCAACTGAGCTTCGATTTCCTTTTTTCCAGCCATCAGATGATGACACCATCAGTCTTCACTCTCAGGTATCAGAAACACCCCGAGAACTGGTGAAAACTGACAGTCACTCAGCAGGAACAAAGCTCGACTTGAGCAAAGGTATTTGAGGGTGTTTTTGTTCCTGTATTCCCACCTATCTGTCTGAGCCTGCATCTCTGTTAATTTGCCCTGCACGTCCTAATTTTACACCCCTGCTTCTCCACACAGAAAGCAACAGAAAGAAATCAGATTCTAAAGTCTAATGTCACCATGTTGACTAAAATTTGAATGTGAGTTGTCTCAACAAGTTGAAATTGCACTTGAACAAACTGCAGTGATATTTCAGATCAAAGGATAGACTGTAACAACACATAGTGTAAAAATCAAGAATGGAATTGTTGAGAACGATAGGACAAAAGGTCAGTTTCTCCTAATGGCTTATTGGATTGAGCAATTAAAAAGCTGTTTGTAAAGGATTCCAGTGCACACTACCTTATGTGCTGAATATTATCTCAAAAGGGGTATAGTCTCTATTTCATGGAATGGACAGCAATTTTTTAGTACTGTAACACATGTTTAGTTCATTGCAGTTTAATTTAATTCAGAATAAAATGAAAGCCCCTAAAAATAATGGAACTGTCCATTATTCATACTGTCCTGTGTTTATAGGATGTAAATGGGCTTTGTAAGAATGCACCATACAACTGGCGCCTATGATTGGTTTGCTCTTATTAGAGAATGTTAAATGGGCTGCTTTGATCGTAGCCAGAGTGTGCGAATCATTCCACAGTCCCATATTAGTCTTAATCTTATTATTTCTTAATAATAATAATAATAATAATAATAATAATAATAATAATAATAATACTTACACTTGAACAGTGCACTCAAAGTGATGTACAGGTAATGGGGACTCCCTCCACCACCAACATGTGGCATCAACCTAGAACAGAGCAATGAAGCCAATTTATACATGAGATTTATGGAGGATTATGAGGAGGCCATGATTAGTAAAGGCCTGGGGAGGATTTTAATGGCATGATATTGCAGCAGTCAAGCACCACACTATGTAGTAATGCACCGAAAGGAGCACTCATAGAGTGATTTTGAATCTTGTCAGAAGCTGAAGGTGCAGATTACAGTATTAAAGACACCATTCATCTTATTCTATGCAAGCTCAGCTACCAAAGATGAAATATTCTTCACATCCTTGTAATAATATGGATTGTCCCATTTACATTCAAGATAGAATTCCTTGGGACAACATGGTGACACAGTGGTTAGCATTGCTGCTTCACAGTGTTGGGGCCCTGAGTTAGATTTCTGGGTTACTCTATGGAGTACAGATGCAGCCATTCAAAGTGCGCGGTACAGACCTGTACCGCACTCAACTGCCTACGTTATACCGCAGTACGTGATTGGTTGGCCAAAATGACCGACGGGCAGTCGTGGTACATTGGTCGGTAGTGAAAAGATTTAATCATTTAATCTCTTTACTGTGCACGTTTTAATTCTCTTAGTATTGAATATTTATATGGAATTTTACAACTAAAGGGAAATTTAGTAGCTGAGCATAAAAAGAAGAGGAGCATAACACAACTGAAGGTCATAAACGATATTAATTTAGGAACATAAACATATTATGTAAACTGTACTGTAAACTACTGTTTGTGCTACAGTACATGGATATAATTATATAGTTATTAATTTCTTTAGATACATGATTCCATATTATATTCCCTATTAATCAAATTCTAAAAGTATGCTTTTGTTTACTCTGATAACGAGCATATTCACAGAAAAGCTTAAAACTGTCACTTTTCACAGAAAGTATATAAACGTACAGTAATGTGGTCAGAAGGAGCATGTAAAAACGTTTCCGAAATAACCACATGTAAGACTTAAATGCTTAAAATGCTTAGGGAGAAATGGAATACCAATATCAGCAATATACTGTTTATATAATATGTTTATGTTCCTAAATTGATATTGTTTAAGAGCATGTGAAAAGCATGGTGAATCTGAGATTCAGTGGACCAGAGTAATACTTTGAGTTTACAGCTTGTCCAAGGTCATTCATTATTAATACTATTAGTAATATCTTCGGTAAAGACTTTGATGCATAAAATATTTCTAAAATATTTATGATAAAGGTGGTAGGTTGTGTACCTTTGTCCAACTGAGCAATATTGCTTTCATAAAATAAACCAACTTTTTAATGTATAATGATTAACATGCTGTAATACACAGTTTAAATGTAAAAGTCTAAAGCGCATACAACTTAAATTCTTAATTGAATAAAGATTGTCCCTCAGTAGTGATCGGGATTCGAAACCGGGTGTTTTCTGGTCACAACTCAAATGCTGTACAAGAGAGGTTAAGCTTTATTAGCTCCACCTGGCGGTTTTACAAGGTGATTCCGGATACTATTAACATACTATTAACATAATCTAATTTGCATGCGGTAAAGTGTAGTGGCATGATTACTTGGGTATCCCTAGCAATTGTTGGACAGTATATTTAAGTGCACTTGAGAACTCGGTGGTTGCAAATGAAGGAGCATTGTATTTACAAATGCGTCTGGCAAACTGCTGCCTGTTAAGTTTCATTTCTGTCCTTCCTGTCGTTTCTCAGATCAGGAGCCCTATGACTACATTGACCCCAATACAGAGGAGGACACACCCCTTTCTGAAGCCAGCGATGTTCACTTCAGTGGTCAATATGTATCCTGCATAAAGGTAGGAGATAAAGATTCCTTTTCCACACACGGGAAATTAAATTGGGTACAGTGATGATCTTTAAAATAAAAACGAAATTTGGAATGTTTCGTTGGCAAAAATTAAAAAACGGAAAGCAGATAAAATATATGTGAAATAACTAACATTAACAGCAGTTCTTAGCATGTACCAATCCTGCAAATTGTTTAACTTCACATATCGTCATCTGCAACATCCAATGTTGTTTACTTTAAGTGCAGCCGTGAAGTGTAAACTTCTCATTTCCTATATGTTGTCAATAGGTGTCTCTTCGTCAAAGCCACACACTTTTCAAAAGAATGTGTGATAACTAAGCATTTCAATTCTTTTGAAGCTGTTGTCTGTGTTGCATTTTGGCAGGCTAGACTATTTTTTGTTTTTCCTCTCATCACTTTACTTAAGTAATTTGTCCCTTCTCTCTGGGCAAAAGGCTACCCCATTGCTTATCTTAGGTATACAAGCAATGCTAAGGTACTGCTTGAGACAGAGCAACACACTGTGAATATTTCATGCTTCTCAGTCTAGAAATTCTTCTAGAAATCCTGTGCCTTCTTTTTTTTGTGTTAGGACAGAGCTTTTTTGAAGTTGAGGAAGGCTTTGAGGAGGCAACATGTAACTTGCAATTATTACTTGGGCAATCTTTTTAATTAAAGAGTGGTCAACTTCCACTCAGCTACAGATTTGTTTTGTGCTTCTCCATCAAGAGCCATGGCCCCTCAGCTGTGGGTGTGGTGGTTGTGAGAGCCATACAGTAGGTGTCTTGTTTGTGAGGTGCTTACGTTAGGTGAGTTAAAGGCAAACGTGACATTGAAAAATCACTGTAGCTTTATCCATCTACTTAACATAGATTTATAGAAAGCTCAAGTTTTCCCATATAGACAGGGAAGAATGGGGAATGTCAGAAGCAGAAACTGAAATGGTAGACATGGCTAATGATTCCTGTCTTGCTCAGTTTGTCAGAGCATCTACCAAAGGGAAATTCCTGTATTGAACTAAGGTTAGAAAAACACAGGTGAGAGAACCATTCGGGAACGTCTATCATAGTTGGGATATGGTTTGAAATACATTTTGAAACTTCACAGGGAGAGTTTAGAAGAAAGGTTTAAAGAAAACAGGTTAGGAAGAATTGAGAGTTACTGTATATTATATGACTTTAATATAAGTAGAATGAGAGAAGATGTATAAACTGTAGAATCAGTAAAGAATGAATTGCAGGAATTTAAAATTGTTTTTCTTGGTGTATGGAACAGATTCATCCCAAATGTAAGTTAATTTATTTCACAATTAAAAAAAATGAGTATGAGGAGATAGAAACGAATATTGCTCTGAAGGCTAACATAAGTAGAATTTGTTTTTCAGTATTACAACTGCAAAGGAACAGTAAAATATTGTCTCAGAGATATAAAAAAAACTTTTCTTTATACTTAGGAAGAAAATTATAATACAGTATGCAAGGGAAAGACAAGTTTCTGCATTATGCAATATTTGCATACAAGAATCAGATGCACAGTTGTGAGAAAACGTTTGTGAACCCTTAGTAATCATATGGAATTTTGCATAAATGGCGACAAGTCTTTTTTTACAAACAACACACACAAGATTTTACATTACCATATCTTTATTGAACAAATGGTTTAAACAATCAAGGTCATTGATGGAAAAAGTAGGTGAACCCTTATATTTAGTAACTAGTGGAACCTCCTTTATTGGCAATAACCTCAACCAAATGCTTTCTGTAGCTGCTGATCAGACCTGCACAGCAGTTAAGAGGTATTTTGGCCCATTCCTCTATACAAAACTGTTTCAGTTCATGTATATTTTTGGGATGTCTTGCCTGAATGGCCTGCTTCAGATCACTCGACAGCATTTCAATGGGATTGAGGTCAGGACTCTGACTTGGCCATTCAAAATACAGAATTTCTTCTGTTTGAGCCACTCTGTTGTTGATTTACTCCTGTCTTTTGGATCATTGTCATGTTGCAAGACCCAACTTCTTTTGGGGTTTAGATCACAGACAGACACCCTGACATTCTGCTGTAGAACTTCCTGATACAATTTGGAATTCATTGGTCCCTCAATGATTGCAAGCTGTGCAGGCCCTGAATCAGCATAACAGCCCAACACCATTATACTCCCTCCGCCATGCTTCACAGCTGGGATGAGGTTTTGGTGTTTGTATGCAGTGTTTTTTCTCCAAACATAACGCTGTGTACATTTACCAAAATGTTCAACTTTTGTCTCATATGTCCACAGAACATTGTTCCAGGAGTGCTGTGGAACATCCAGGTGGTCTTTAGCAAACTTGAGACAAGCAGCAATGTTTTTTTGGGACAGGAGTGGTTTCCTCCGTGGTAACCTTCCACGAGCACCACTCTTGTTCAGGGTTTTTCTCATGGTAGACTCATGAACACAGACATTATCAAGTGCAAGAGATGCCTGCAGATCATTAGCTGTCACTCTAGGGTTATTTTTCACCTGTTTGAGGACTGTACGGTGTGCCCTTGCAGTGATCTATGTAGAATGCCCGCTCCTAGGGAGAATAACAACGGTGCTGCATTTCTTCCATTTGTAAACTATCTGCCTGACTGTGGACTGATGGAGGCCCAAGCCTTTAGAAATCCTTTTGTAACCCTTTCCAGTCTTATGAGCTTCAACAACTCTTCTTCTGAGGTCCTCTGAAATCTCTTTTGATCGGGCCATATTGCTCTTCAATAGTTTTCTGTTGTGAAGAGCAGGTACCCAACATTGTGTGATTTTTTTATAGGGCAAATCAGGTCAAACCCACACCTGAATATATTGGAACACCTGACTCATTGATTGGAATACCTAACTCCAATTACCCTCTTTTCAAGGTGTCATTATCCTAGAGATTCACATAGTTTTTCCTTGTAAAACGTTTCCTGTAAAATGTTGTGTGTGTTGTTAAATAAGACTATTTATTATTATGACTTAGATGAAGATCAGATCACACTTTAGGAGCCAATACATGTAAAAATCCAGATTATTCTAAAGGGTTTAGAAACTTTTTCTAACAGCCGTATACCAAGTTCTGTAAGCACTAGATATATACAGATATTTATGTAGAATTTGATCAGTTGTACTAAAATGAGGAATAGCATTTAAAAGCCATCAGTAAAACTCTTTCAACAAAGACCAGAGTAATACCATTGACTGTAAAATTAACTAAAAGATCTTCTTTTAACTAATTAACCAAACCACGTAAAATACATTAAAGTCCTGTAATGGACTTTTCAGGGTGCACCCTGCCTTGCAAACGTTGCTTGCTGGGATAGTCTCCAACTCCCCTGTGACTCTGAATTGGAAGAACATTTTAGAAAATTGATTAATAATTATAACTAAGCTGGAGTGTTATGTGTTCAATAGGATTCAAGAGACCAGTTGACATGGATTTATAAAAGTAAACATTGCAACTTATTTTTATGAGATATAAAAAGTACAGTATATTTACATTTTCAGAAAACTTTTGATAAAGTATATACTCATGTGTGAGTTGATCTATTTAAAGCAATAGGCTTTCAAAATATTGCATGTTTTTGACTGAGAACTGGTTAATAGATAGGAGACGTACAGTTAAGAAATGAATGCTTAAAGTGAGGTGATGTAATTAGTGCATTACCACAGGGATTTGTATTAGGGCCACTGCTTTTTTTAATTAGTATGAATTATCTAGATTCCTATGTCGTAAGTAAGATTGTTAATCTTGCGGGTGATGCAAGTATTTAGAGTACATTGCAAAAGCAAAAAAGAGATATTTAGATGTATTTAAACAAAATTCAGAACTTGTCAAACACCTGGCAGCTGACATTTAATGTAGACAAGTGCAGGCAGCAAAAACAAACTATTAAGATGGGAAACACTGAGACAATTCCTCAAGAGAATGTGGGAACACAGAAAAGACAAATGGCATATATAAACAAAAGTTTAGGATTTAAGCCTTTTCATATAAAATTGCTCCTTAGAGTAATGTTATGTTGTACAATGCCTTAGTAAGAACTCATTTAGAATATTTTGCTCAATTGTACCACAACACAATAAGTAATAATGTTTCTCTTGAATTAGTCCTGAGAATAGCAACCAGAAACATTTTCTGGTTTACAGGAATTAAACCTTAAGTTCTTCAACAGGGGGAGTGGTTCACGACAGTCTTAGATGGGGAACCCAATTCAACCTTATTCACCAAATTATTGGAAGCCATTTATTTGGGGGTAGCTTTTACACAAAAGGTTGTGGGCATCTGGAAGAATCTACTTGGCTAAGTTGACAAAGCTCATAACGTATATTTTTGAGCAACTCAAAACTTGACGGTTGAATCTATTACCTACTAGGAATCAAACGAACTATAAGCATGTCAGATTGCTCTCCTTATTTACAGTGTTTCTTTTGTTCTTAATAGAAATTATTAATTATTAATTGCTTATGTATTAACTATTTTACAATCAGTTTATGGTTTCAGAATTATCTAGGTTTTGAGTAGTTTTGCCAATATCTACAAAGTTCTCTCTGTGCTCATCTTGCTTTATTTAGTCGTATGTCTCTACCCTGCTTCAGTTATAAACAAGGGTTAATAGGGTATGAATTAGAGCTACGCCCTCAAGTGGGACTTTTGTTATCTCTAATGCTTTCATGAGAAGCTTGGCTTTATTAGTTTCATATGGTCCTGAGTGCTTAAATTCTAGGCGCCGTGTCAACTTATTTATCTAAACGCTCCACAGCTTGTATAGGAATAATTTCCAATATGTATCTCACTTTTCAAGAGCTGAAAAGACAGTCAGTCTAACCAACAAAATATTCCATTCAAGGGTCCAGATAATCCTAGCAATGAAGCCTTTAGTTGGAATGAAACCAGTACACAAGAAGTTCCAAGGAACAGATTTGAATTCAGAATTCAGTGTTGTTAGATTGCCAACAGATGGTGATATTTTCCCGTTAATTTCTTCTTGCTTCTTCTTGCTTCTTTTCTTTATTAACCAGCTACAATGTAGGTCCTGGGTGTGGCACCTGCATTGCTGTATGACCAGCAACAAGTACAGCATGCATAGGATTATTTTTCCTTTACAAGTAAAATTTGTCAGGGCAGAAACACCTGTTATTATGGTTTGGAAATTCAGTTTCATTTGAAAATTACTCCTTATTTGTTATGGAAAGCAATAACTTGGCTGCATCAACTGTGTTGCTGTGATGGTTTTTACCATTATTTGTGTTTTATAGATGTGGTATTATTTTAGCCTTACTTCAGTTTTGAATATTTTAAACAAGGAGGAATAATATTGAGCCATTTTCATTTAAAGTTCTGCAAAGTAATGAATGCCCTAGTAGTTCTGGAGCAAAAATTTGTCAGTGCATCACAAACGTCAAATGCTATCTGACAGTTTCTTTGCACAGTCACTTCTGAATCCTAACTCAATTTGTTAAGATTTCAAAACATTTTTATTCATGCTGTTTGATGCCATTGTGAGTAGCTGTGGAAGATGTTACTGCATATTTCTTTGTTCCATTAAAATGTTCCTTTAACTCCATGCATTCAAAAAGGAATCAGCTTTTTTTATTATTGTTCAGAGTTACTATTGCTGAAAAAACAGTGCAAGGATAAAAATAGTAAAAAGAAATTTTAATCCATTGGCAGTTGACATTTGGGTGTTTCAATAAGTAAAGATATAAAGGCTTGTAGGTGGTACAGTGGTGCAGTGGTTAGCATTGCTCTCTTGCTCTCTCTGGGGCCTTGGATTCAATTCCAGACGTGGGGCACTATCTGTGTGGAGTTTATATGTTTTTCCTGTATTTCCTGGGTTTTCTCTGGGTGCTCCGGTTCCCTTCCTACAGTCAAAACCCTACTGGTAGGTTAATTGACTTCTGGGAAAATTCACCCTGGCGTGAGTGTGTTTGTATCTGTGCGTGCCCTGCAGCTCGTCTCGTCCAGGATGTATTCTGCCTTGTCCCCATTCTATACCAGGACAGGTTCCGGCTTCCCTGCGACCCTGAATTGGATGAACCTGTTAGAAAATGGATGGCTTGCAGGGCTTACATCTGCTCAAAAACAGATGTACACCATGATCATGGCTTTCATACCAAAATCACAGTGTTTGTGTAAATTCTTATTGTACATCCGTTTTTGATCATATTTTCTTCATACAGAACTACACATCAAAAAACAATTTAGACCTATGGGCCGCCAAAGTTCTGCTCTTTACCCTCGTGTCCACTTTTTAGTTGTTCCAACTATTTGTAAGCATTTCTTCAGTTCATGCAATTGCTTTCATATACTGCTTACAGCTGAAACAAATTAAATCTTTCATCCATCCCTCTGTTTTGTTTGATTTACCAGTTACTGGGTTTTGTGACTTGCTTCAGGATTTAAAATGCTAGTAGAACATTCTTATTATGCAAATGGAAACTTCTTTAGAAACCTATAGAAATGATCGATTAAGATTCCCTTAACTTATTGAAAAACGTTCTTACAATCAAGAAAACGAACGCTTTGCTTATAGTAGATAATTGTTTTAAAATGGTTTTGTGGTGAATTTGGTGCAGTTATCTTTCGAAACACAAAAATGTATTTTTGTTGCTTTTTTCTTTTGTAGGAACTCGAGAGGGTACTGGGTAAATCAAATCAGCTGGAGGAGAAGGATAGCTGGAAAGAGGAATCTGGGTAAGAAGGGCAATGAATTGCTCATCCAGGGGTTTTCAGTGCTGATCCCAGGACCCCTGTGATTTCTACTTTACTTTTAAAGTAAGCTAATCATTGTTTAGCAAAACCGAACCCATAAACTGGAGTGCTAACTTAATTACATCCAATTTTAAACCGTGCTTAAGTCTGCAGTGGTGACTGTTACTGCAGCTACAGGTCCTGGGTATGATTCTCGGCTTGGGCACCTTCACTGAGGAGTCTGGAGTGGAGATGTTCCCCTTGTAGTCACATGCAGTTCTTTCTATTGTAGACTAAACAGAACGTCTAGACCGGCTGAACTGAAACATTTGAAATTTTGGGGGGATAGTTAAACTTTCTTTAATCTGGGCTCAGGTGTCTGATATTAATAAATTCCTGCCCGTGCTCAACAGTTAGCAAACTGTAAAGATTTATTTGTTTTGCTTAAACTTAAAAGAAGGAAAAATCTCTGCCATTTTAAGATGTTAAAAACTAAGAGTGATCCTGAGGACTAGGCCTCGGAATCCAGCCTCTTAATGTTTGTAGTTTCTGACATTGCTCTTTTAATGCACTTTAGTTCTGATAAAGAACAGCAGCATGCCGAAGAGGAGGATGAGCTGAAGGAGGTTATTGATCTGCGGAAAATAGCTGTTCAGTTACTGCAGCAGGAGCAACAGAACAGGTACAGTTCAGAACTGTTCAGAGCCAGCTGAGCATCACCACCATCTCTTGGACCTCTTTCTGTTTATCTATAACAGTCAGTCATGGAAGATTCCCAACAGACAACATAGTATAATGGGGCACTTTGAGGCAGGATGCAATATTATAGCAATCTCAAAACTGAAATAAATATGTAAGATGAGTGATGCAAAATCCAATGCTGTTGCTTTAGTATCATAATCAAAATGACAATTTGATCGAACCTGAGTTAGCATCAGGCCAGGATCCCAAAAACTTTTGTAATGAAATTTTGAATCTCTGCATCCTAACCACACTGTCAAACACAAGCTATGAAATGGGTTATTATTGACACAGTGACACTATGTACTGTATATTTTTGCATCATTGCCAGTAATGGCTGTTAAGAATTCTTCCATGTTTCAGATCATGTGAGTAGCTGATCAGTATTATGTTTTCTTGGTTAACTGACAATACAAGGTATGGTGATATATTAATAAACAGCAGGCAAAATAAGGGGGAAAAGATTATTTCATTTAAATAAAACCTGGTTCAATGTTGTGCTATGGTCAACATGAAAAAGTTTAATATCCAGTGCCTCTATTGGTTTAGAGCTGGCAATGAAAGCCTACCTTTCTCAAGGTCTTTCTGAATAGTGTGGCCTGCCTAAGATTGCTATTCACAAAATCCTTACACTTGAGTTTAGTTTTTACCTATTTAATATGCTCCCAACAATGTTTACAAACTCCAAGCGTCATTTTCTTCATGTCACTTTGTTCAGTGCCTGACTAACACGCACCACACTGATTCTAGGAAGTCTTGAACAGAGAGGAGGAAGAGACTGTTTAATTGCTCAGAAGTGCACAAGTCCAGTAATGGAAGGGCACAACCCCAGCAGACTTAGACATCTAATGAAACCATCATAAAACCTGGGGATGTTAAATTACCCACAGTAATGTCAATATGATAATTTGGTGATTGGTTGAGTGGGATATATTTTTTTTTTACTTTGTAAAAATGCATTCATTTATCAATAGAATTTAAACAGTTTTTGAAAAAAGATTAGCCTGTTAAGAGCTCAGGTGGAATGAGAACAAACCGAAACTATAGCCTGTCCAGCACTGGAGCTGTGCAGCAAAAGATAAATGACTTAACAGGCCGGTTTTAATTAATGTTCGGTACTTTAATTTCTTATGAGAAATGTGTATAATATGTGTATTAGCAAAAATGGCCATTTTTAATTTCCTTGTAGCTCATCCCCCCTTTCTAACTGTGCTTTTATTTTTGAAAGTCTCTTAACACCATTAATCCCGTCGGTGATGTAAATGTAGCCAGGAGAGGTGAAGCGTTTTTACAGAGGCGCTGATTTTCCTGCCCGGGGTTTGAAGGCTCCTCTTCTTTCTCTGTACTAACCGCTTCCCTTCCTTTCCTCATCTACATTACTCTCTTCTTTCTTTTTCTCTTTCCATTCCTTCTTTACTGTTCTGCTCTTTGTGTGTGATGGGTGCACATGGCATGCAGGCGGAGGTCCTTAATTTGTAGAGCAACATTCAGTGAGAGCCTTATCCACAGACGGAGACCTACAGGACGAGCACACAGGTATAGGCCAATTGTTGGGGGTGTGCAGGGCGAAATGGGGTGTGTGCTGGTGGAGGAGTCGGGGTTACTTTATGGCTAGGTGTCGGGAGTCAGGGCCTTGTTTCAAGTCCTGGATACTTTAGTGAGGAATTAACAGAAAAATATGCTAGTGCCTTCTTCTCCAAACCCAGTCATTTAACACACATTGTGGACGGGATGCTTAGATTTTAAGGGTTTTGCTTTTTTCTATAAAACATTGTGCTCAGAACACATCCTAATGTCCGCCAACGTGCCAGCCAAAGCATTCCAAGTCCCTAACATGACGGTAGGCCTCTACTGCGGGGGATTCAGGAAGTCTGAGGTAAACAAAGAGCAGCCATGAGGGGTTAGTACTTGGCAATTAGCATATGTTTTGACATTCTTAATTTAATCCCTGCCAAGGAAGTTCCGACAGTGCGTTTACAAAGAACAGTGTTTTTATGCATACATCCAGTGCAGTATTTGTTCCAGTTAAACTCTTAAGTGAAATGATCTGTTATTATTATTTTTAGCTATTAAACACTTCATCTCCATTGATTATAAAAAAATTGTGGATTAAAAACTTGAACTTCAATATAGATGCAACTGAAAAGTGGAGATTATTATCTTTGTTGGCAGTTTTAGGTAGTTAAAAAAGTGCTCAATTTGAACATAAACAAGACAGTGGGCTGGATGAATAAACCTTTTATTACCAAAGTATGTTAATTAATTCTCAATTTATTAGCTTCGAAGTTATTTACAAAGGTATTTATAGTACTTTGCACAAGAATTCATTCGCTTCCAAAAAAACAAATATTCTTCAGTGGCACAGACCAAGCCATAACTTGAATCCAGTAGAAAATATGTGGCAAGACTTGTGAATTGTTGTCTATCAGTGATCCCCACCTAAGGTGTCAGAACCTGAGCACCTTCCAGGTGTACACAGCAGAGAACAAAAAGACTCATTGCTTACATCAAGTATTGACTCAGGGAGGTGAATATACATCAACACAAACTCGTTTGTATTTTTATTGGCTCTCAGTATATATTTTTAAAAATATTTGCACTAGCAGCACAGTACCTTTTCAGAAGTGTAAAATCATGTTCAGTGTTTGTTACAAATACTTATAGTTAAGTCGGTAAGATTTTTTTTTCTTGTAAGTGTTTTGCTGACTTATACATGGTTTCAGTCTAGCTCCAGCTTGGATTAAATTTGGTTTCTGAAGTCAACCTTAAATTCCAATACTGTAGCAATTTTGTTTTCAATGTTTCTCCAGCCTGAGTATTTTTAAATTACCCCTTAATGGCAAATGGAATTGATAAGAAGTAGCAAACACATTTTTTCTTGAATGTGATGACAAAAATACATTAAACTATGCCCCTTTTTTGTTTAAAACATGCACTACCTTTCATATGATTCCTATACTCTTGAATAAAAAAATAGCAGGCTTACTTGTGGATTTGAGGTATTGTTCAATAAGTAAACAGTAAAATAAAACTGTAAAAAATACTAGTGTAATTTTATAACTGTGCGTACATCTAGGTTAAGGCATGTTGGACTAGCCAGCAGCCATATCACTCTACAACTCACAACTGGCAACCCACTGAAGCTCAGCAGGTGTGAGCCTGGTCAGTACCTGGATGGGAGACTCCTGGGAAAAACTAAGGTGGCTGCTGGAAGATGTGTTAGTGGGGCCAGCAGGGGGCGCTCACCCTGCAGTCTGTGTGGGTCCTAATGCCCCAGAATAGTGACGGGGACACTATACTGTAAAAAGGCCCTGTCCTTTGGATGAGATGTAAAACCAACGTCCTAAGTCTCTGTGGTCATTTTAGAAATTCCAGGGGCGTTGCTCAAAAAGAGTAGAGGTGTTACCCTGTTGTCCTGGCTACATTTCCCCTTTGCCTTTACCATGGGCTCCTAATAATCCACATCTATAAATTGGCTCCATCATTCTGTTCTCCTCCCCACTGATAGCTGATGTGTGCTGAGCATTCTGGTGGACTATGGCTGCCGTCGCATTCACATGGGTGCTGCACATTGGTGGTGGAGGGGAGTCCCCATTACCTGTTAAGTGCTTGGAGTGGGGTGTCCAGATAAGCATTGTATAAGTGTAAGCAATTAATTATTAATAGTACTTGATTTCTAAGCTTAAGAAGTTAGTTTGTGGTCTCATCCACTCCACACCTCTTTATTAAATCTTTGTGTGTCTCAAAGAGTGAACCTCCGGGCTGGATGATGCAAACCTTTGAAGCAAATACTCCCTTGACTAGAATTTTTATTAAATTCTCACGTAGCCTGTAATTGTTGGCCCTGTATGACAGGACACACTTCTTAGACATGACTTAATGTTTTGAGAAAGTTTCTCCCTATTAATTATATAATGGTATAATTATAATGATATAGTAATGATAATCTGCCAGCTTTCTGTTTCTGCAAGGAAACAACAGTGATTGTGAAAGGTCTTTTTTTAGCAGTATAGACAACGAAATACGTTTTGGGTGCTGTTTCTTCAATTCAAATATGAAGCAACATTACAACAAAGTTGTCTCCAGTACCCGGTTTCTTGACTTATGCAGAGACTTTCGTGATTTACAAAAGCATCTTTTGTGTGAATATTGGTATACTAACACAACTGATATACAGCAGTGCCTGTGTTATCGCGAGATGTGTAAACTTCACAATTGTCCCTCCTTAATGATGTAGGTACCCTTTTTCTTCTTCCTATGACTAACATAGTCAGTCAGGTGGGACATATTTTTGTTCACTTGTGCTTATTCACACCTGTACAAGGCTCAGTAGTCGAAAGTCTGCATTTCTACTTTTTGTTGTGAATTTAAGCTTTATTACTGTAGTTTCTTTCTAGTTCTGTTTTATGTTTGTTGAAACTTTTAAAAATCTTTTTTTATTGACCCATATAATCTGGATATATTTTTTTAGATTTCTTAGTCATTCTGGAAGCAGCCCAAACAGCAGACAGAAGTCACCTGCAAGATCCATCCGAAGGTAAGGAAATATACATCTTGTGGCTTTAAGATGAGAAATTAATCTTCCTTTATTGATATGAATTATTCCATTACTAATATTGTATGCACTTTACCAGCAGTAAGATGGTTGTTCCTCAATCCCTTCTTTTACTGTCTAAAACTTGACAGGAGTCATTTATTTTAAATGCAAAATATTTTTATTAAAACTGTGTACACTAGTGATATTTCCCAGTCTGCATTCCCAGTTTAAACACTAGATCACTAAATCAAAAATTCAGTTCATATGATGGAAGTGTTTACTATAACATTGGAAATATGTATTATCAATTTTAATACTATTTGTTATAATTAACAGTATGAACTATATGTTCAAAATAACTTTTAATTTAAACACTGCATTTAGCAGTGTGGAGCAGAGCTTGTAACTGGAAAGTGGTGGGTTCAAATCCCAGGTGGGTCCGTGCCATTGTACCGTACTCTTGAGCAAGGTACCTCACTAAGACTGGTCCAGTAAAAGTTTCCAGCTGTATAAATACGTTCATATGTAAGTTATTTTGGATAAATTAGTCTGCCAAGTCATTTAGTAATAAAAATTACATAAACCAATATTTGAATGTAAATGTAGTAACCTGTTTTATGAAAATTCAATTATTTGTTTGGCTAAGGAACCTAAGGAAGAAAGGGCAGCCACCTGTAGTCACTTCAAGTGTGTGGTTTTAAGAATTATACTTTTTAATGAAGCTTTTCCTAGTTATTGCCTCAAGGCTTTGAATATTGGATGTAAATTCCACAGTGTAATTGAATTAATAGAATCGCATAAGCACATTGATTTTAGTGAGCAGAGTCTTTTTTTTTTTGTAGTGAGAACCCCTCTTTTGCAGTGTCCACCCACATACCAAGCCCTTCATCTTGTGAGCAACTACAAGCTCCTCAGAGTTGTGCAGGATGTTCACCATTAACTGCGCTTGTGTAATCCCAGTCACTTTCAGACAGTGGCATGAATCAGGCTTCCATTTGCATCATCTTGACACAGATGTTAGTGGCCTGTTTTCTTTACCACTGTCACCAAATTTGAGGAAAATGTTAAACTTTTGATGACTTTCCATAAGATGGCAAATGGCACTGACTGCATTGCTAAGGTGTGAAGCCTCCTTTAATGCTAATTACAATAATGATGTCCTGAAATGAGCCCATTATCCACAACAACAGGGTCTACAGGCATTGCTTAACTTCGTAGTAAATTGTTTTCACTGGCAGGAGCCTGTAAAATAAATAAACATTCTTTTGCCATACTGTATGCATATAACAATTGTCATTATTCTTTTTTTAAAGCACATCGTTGGAAGAGGGAAGCACGTCTGAGTCTCTGCTGGTAGGGCAGGTATGGCTTTTAGTCTGTTATACTATTTCTGTTTTTGATGTTCATTACATTTGCATAACAGCAGATTAAATTAGCCAGATTTTGTCTAGATGTCTTCTTTGTTAAAAAGTGAAATCTGGACATGTGCAGTAATTAAATGGTTTATGGTACTATCTGTAATGAATGATAGGATGCCTAAGTTCTCATTTATATTTTAATAGCATGTCACAAGATTAAACTTAATATACCCATACTGCTGAGAAAATTCAATTTATGTGAAAAAACTGTTGAAGCAATGTTTTTATGCCCACCCATCTTCATTTCAAATTCATGGAAATATTTTGTTTTTTAATGGATGTTGTTTTTCCATTTTACATACTCATCATGTGTAGCAAAAAGAAAATGAATTGTTACATTATCTTCACGTTAGCATTAGATACATCTTGTTTTTATTCTTTTTTTACATGTAATTCAGGAACCTTTAAAACTTTCAAATTAAAAGCACAGATTTCCTGCAAAATAGAGTCTCATGTTATGGAATTGTCTTCTATAGCAAAATCCATACTGTAGCATACCAGATGGCAATGAAAACAATGTGGAACCTGTTAAAAGTACATTAATTGTACTCATTGCTTCAGTTCCAATGACTGATGAGAAAAAAAAATCTCACAAGTCAGTCGGACAACTTGACAGAACACTTTTCAAATTAATTTCTTTGTGCACTGTTTATGTGTGCTGTTTTATTCAATGAAGGCTACAGCTGAGTTAATGCTAAAGCCTCTGGAATACACACACACAAGTAGAGTATTTTATTCTGATATAATCAACAAGTCACTATTAAAGGCTATACAGTTAACCTTTTCAAACTGGAGAACTGTGCATTTCCCCTTAAATGATTTCTACTATAGCCTCTGGAGTACTTGTGATTGAACAAGCACCTTTTCCATTTTATTTTTTGTACAGTTTCTCAGAAGTATTAAAAGATAGTTTTTCCCAGTGAACATAAACATTATTAAGTCATCCACACAAAGAATCTCATGCGTTCTGAGATGCTGAGTGCACATTGAATTCTTGATTTTTCAAAGTAAGCTATTTTGCATAGTACAAGGAGACCTTGTGCATAAGTCCTCACTACACACCAATTACAGTATAACCATTTATAGCACAACTATTCAGTCAGAGAAAAATATATACCCATTTTTTATATTTATCTCAAAATCCACAGGGAAAAAAAAACCATGATTTACAGTACAATTCCTTAAAAGGAATACTGTATGAGAAATGTTTTAGAGAAGTATTCATAAAGAATACTTACCTTCTTAAAGAGCTTATGGTATTTTTAACCTAATATTTAAAAGAAATGCAGTTGTCCTTGAAGGATTGTGTTCATAACTTAATTGCTCTTTGAAGTATTCAAAATAGTGAACCAAGTCAGCTGCCTTTTTCTTAACGTTGCTTAAAATTATTTACAGAGGTGCTAAGAAAAACTGATAGTGCTGTAATAGCTGGAACTAAGCAGGCTGAGCCACAGTTTTCCAAATGTAATTGTATCATTTCCTTTTTGTTTTTAAGGAGCCTGAATTTGCTGAGGAAGACAGTCCATTCTCTGAGGTCATTCATTCATTTTCACTTAATTTAGCTTTATTTTCTTTTGTTTTTATTTCATGTAGGCTCATGTAGTTCATACTGTGTTCCCTCGCAAGGCTTGTGTTTTCATGCCCTTTTCAGATCCAAGACATTTTCACTTTTTTTTAGATCTACAGAGAAAAATTGTCACTGGGAATGCAATGCAAATGTGTGCTGTGGTCCTGTTTTCGATTTCCCAATAATGTTGACATTTCTTTAAAAAAAAAGACATTCTCTTAAAGAATCTTAATCTTCAAAATAAATATCCTTTAAAATAATTATTAGGATCTCAGGAGGGGATATGACTCTTTGGAGATATGTTAGGTATTTCCTTAATCATTTCTTTGGAATTCCAGAAGGCTTGCTTCCTGTGAGAAAGTGTTTGTTGGTTGTTTTACAGCCCTCAGGGTCAGATGATGGTAACCCAAAGCAGGACCAAACAGATTCAGTGCAAAAGTGGCCTGATGCTCACCCACTAGTGTATCACAGTGAAGACCGAAGGCGAAATAAATACTTAAGGAAAGATTATATAAAGGTATTTTTTATGCACAGTGATTTTGATCACCCCCCTTGCATTTTCAAAATGATTGCCTCACATCAAATCTAATTTGATTTGATGCTGCAGTTGAACCCTGAAAGTCTTGTGTCTATACCCTTTTGTGTTTTGAGACAGCAGTCCACAACTTCTTCCAGCGTGTGGACCCTTTTTAATTTTTCCAAACCTTTCATGGAGCACTGCACACTAATAATTATGTTTTACACCTTGTTACATATAGAAATGTAACCTAGAATCCAAAAAATAAACTCAGTAATGTAGACACCTTAAATTATGTGAAATTTGTTTTAATTTCAAGCCTGACAGTGTATGCATATGAATGTGTGTGAATTCAAGTGATTTACAGTGCCTTGCGAAAGTATTCGGCCCCCTTGACTTTTCAACCTTTTGCCACATTTCAGGCTTCAAACATAAAGATATACATTTTTTATTTTATGTGAAGAATCACCAACAAGTGGGACACAATTGTGAAGTGGAACGAAATCTATTGGATTTTTGAAACTTTTTTAACTAATAAACAAATGAAAAGTGGGGCGTGCAAAATTATTCGGCCCCTTTACTTTCAGTGCAGCAAACTCACTCCAGAAGTTCAGCGAGGATCTCTGAATGATCCAATGTTGTCCTAAATGACTGATGGTGATAAATAGAATCCACCTGTGTGTAATCAAGTCTCTGTATAAATGCACCTGCTCTGTGATAGTCTCAAGGTTCTGTTGAAAGTGCAGAGAGCATCATGAAGATCAAGGAACACACCAGGCAGGTCCGTAATACTGTTGTGGAGAAGTTTAAAGCCGGATTTGGATACAAAAAGATTTCCCAAGCTTCAAACATCCCAAGGAGCACTGTGCAAGCGATCATCTTGAAATGGAAGGAGTATCAGACCACTGCGAATCTACCAAGACCTGGCCGTCCCTCTAAACTTTCAGCTCAGACAAGGAGAAGACTGATCAGAGATGCAGCCAAGAGGCCCATGATCACTCTGGATGAACTGCAGAGAACTACAGCTGAGGTGGGAGAGTCTGTCCATAGGACAACAATCAGTCTTACACTGCACAAATCTGGCCTTTATGGAAGAGTGGCAAGAAGAAAGCCATTTCTCAAAGATATCCATAAAAAGTCTCGTCTAAAGTTTGCCACAAGCCACCTGGGAGACACCCCAAACATGTGGAAGAAGGTGCTCTGGTCAGATGAAACCAAAATCGAACTTTTTGGCCACAATGCAAAACGATATGTTTGGCGTAAAAGCAACACAGCTCATCACCCTCAACACACCATCCCCACTGTCAAACATGGTGGTGGCAGCATCATGGTTTGGGCCTGCTTTTCTTCAGCAGGGACAGGGAAGATGGTTAAAATTGAGGGGAAGATGGATGCAGCCAAATACAGGACCATTCTGGATGAAAACCTGTTGGAGTCTGCAAAAGACCTGAAACTGGGACGGAGATTTATCTTCCAACAAGACAATGATCCCAAACATACAGCAAAATCTACAAAGGAATGGTTCACAAATAAACGTATCCAGGTGTTTGAATGGCCAAGTCAAAGTCCAGACCTGAATCCAATCGAGAATCTGTGGAAAGAGCTGAAAACTGCTGTTCACAAACGCTCTCCATCCAACCTCACTGAGCTCGAGCTGTTTTGCAAGGAAGAATGGGCAAGAATTTCAGTCTCTCGATGTGCAAAACTGATAGAGACATACCCCAAGCGACTTGCAGCTGTAATCGCAGCAAAAGGTGGCTCTACAAAGTATTAACGCAAGGGGGCCGAATAATTTTGCACGCCCCACTTTTCATTTTTTTATTAGTTAAAAAAGTTTCAAAAATCCAATAGATTTCGTTCCACTTCACAATTGTGTCCCACTTGTTGGTGATTCTTCACATAAAATAAAAAAATTATCTTTATGTTTGAAGCCTGAAATGTGGCAAAAGGTTGAAAAGTTCAAGGGGGCCGAATACTTTCGCAAGGCACTGTACCTAACAAGACAGCTAGTGCTGGTCATATGAAAGACATTTAAAAGGAGTGATGACAGTTTTATCCTTAATTCTGATTCTGTAGCACATTTTTCTATGGACCCTCTGTACTAGGTTTGTAGATCCAGCAAATAACGGATGTTCTAAAGCATAAAACTGCCTGGTTGTTTATTCCACATTTATTCTCAAGACTTGTAAATTGTTTTTTCATCTCCCATTCCTCCAACACATAGACTCAATTCTGTACGATAGATGTCGGCAAACATATTTGACAGATGTGTAGCGCAAACATTAAAATGTGTGGTGATTGTGGATGTGATGAGGGTGCTCATTCCTCACAGTTCCCACTTTCATACGTATACTGTTCCAAACAGTGGGGTATTCCATTGCTATAGCTGAGAATGATTAAGTTATGGAATAGTCACTTTCTGTTCATTTTTTGCTTTACAGGTGAATTAATTATATATTCATTTTTAAATGGGTATTTTAATTTTTTGTTTGCGTTATGGGTTTTTTTTTAACTGCAGTCTATACTGACATTAATATGATCTACTGTACTTAATGTATTTTTATTGTCTCTGGTGTTACAGAGAATGTCAAGAATTATCTTGATACTGTACAGTACGTGGAGTTCCACCATCTTGTGTGTCTGCATTCTCATCAACATTATAACCCTGGAGTGATGCTTTTCCACTTGTTGTTTAATTAATTATATCTTGTCATCCATGGCCAAGTTCTTCTAAATATGCACTGTTGGAAAAAGATCCCTCCAATGACTTTTTAATTCCTCATTAATTTATAAAATATACTGTGTTTGTGATAGTGTTTTATGATCTTAAGAGATAAGTAATAGTTGATCATTAAGTTTTATGAAATGATCTCAATTTTGATACATGGGAACAACACTTTCCACCTGCTATTAAAAATTAGTTAAAGAGCATTTTATCACAATAAATGAAGGAAAAGTAATGGGATAGGGAAAAACTATTTGGAGCAGTTATGGTTTTTAACTTGACTTAAGCTATTTAGGACAAGAAATAACTATTGTGAGAACCATATTTTGTGCTCAAAATGTCTAGTACTGGATTGCAGTTACTTTGAGCCTTTGGTGAATGGTTTTGTGCTTTGTTTTTTATTTGCAACATCTAGGTGTTCCCTTTACCTTCGGCCATGTGTTTTCATTTCAGTTTGCTGGTTATGAATTAAGAGCAAATGATTTAACCTTTGCATCTCAAAATTGTATATTTTGTAAACTCACTTATGACAGCAACGTTTTAAATTAGACACATAACACTTATTGAACAACAAAGATGTTTTTATCCGAAACATACTGTATGACACATATGTCTGGCAATTTCTGTAAAAAAATGTTATTATAGAAACACCCACTTTGATAGAATCCACCCATACATCTTGATTCTACAGCTTTGATGAGCTGTACTTGTCCTGTATTGCTACCGTAGTTCTTCGATATTGGCAGACTGTAATGGTAGCATCACCAGTCAATACACCCCTTTTTTGTTTACCAGCCCTTTACCCCTTGGGGCCTCTGAAGAATCAAATTAAGCTATTCAGCCATGTACTATTTTGAATTTAACGTTAATTACACTACATGGGGGTAGTGAATACCCAGTAATAAAAAGTAACATTCAGTACTTTTGACTCATATTAATGTTAATGTAATAATGTTGTTTTATTAGCCCTATACAATTTCTTGCATTGGGAATTCGTCTTTTGTTCGCATATCCCAGCTTGCTCTCCATGAGACACAAAAACACAGATAGGGAGAGAAACTTGGGGTCAGAGCACAGGGTCAGCCATTGTACAGCACCCCTGGAGCAGTTGGGGTTAAGGGCCTTGCTCAGGGGCCCAACAGAGTAGGATTTCTTTGCCAGCTGCAGGATTTGAACCAGCAAGCTTCCAATCACGGGCTCAGATCCTTAGCCACAGAGCTACTGCTCCGCCCAATATGTTAATAATGTTATGTAATAATATGTAGCAATTTGTACTTTACTATCCCAATACTTACAGTGTGGAAGGCACTGTAGGTCACAAAATCATAGATGGCATTGTTAGTGATGACCTATAAACAGTGAACTCTGAGTTTAAGTCATTTTCCTTAAAGGTACAGTAGATTGTTAGAAATATGTGTAATAAAATAGTCCTATTGTAATAGTTAAAATGTCTTCCGAAGGGTTATTCTGAGTAAGCACATTTAAATGGGATTCTTCTGTGTTTCTTTTACAAATCTGATTTACATTCCTCAACATGAGGCTTCTCTGCTGGGGCTCTTGGTGGCAATTACCTTTTCATCATTTCACAATTGCTTGCTTGGCTGTATAAGTTGATTATATATTTGTTTTAAATAATGTTGATTCAAAAACAGCAATCTAAAGTATCATGTGCTTGTATTGTGAACTCTGGGATTTGTTTCATTAGAAATTTGTTATCCAAATTGAGTCACTGCTACCTCAAGACAGTAGTTCTGCAATTGGAACCTGTGATTGAGGTTACAATCATGTGATTGTTAAGAAACACTTCTTGTAAAGGGCTTACAGCTAGCAATCTACAGTATATTGTAGCAGGTAATGCCCATGAATTCATGAGTGGATTATCCATTAACACAAAACATTTGGATTTGTGATTAGTAAAATATTAAGATGTGGTAGGAAAATGTGATTTTTGTATGTACAGGGTGTATCAGAATCCTGGACCTATAGGGAGAATTGAATAATATAAACTTGTTTAATTTATGATTCTAATTGTTTTACATTAACGCACATACACATTAACTGTTGTACAAATATTTACTAGTCAATTTTTTAAGACTGATATAAGGCTAATCTGAGAGCATGCATTTCCTTTGGTGCTGCAATGCTATTTGGTTTGAGGTATATACCACAAAGTTCATGAAATCAAATTTCTCATGGACTGGAAAAATCTGTACTCTGTGGAAGTCATTCCACAGGGTATCAGTGTCTTATCCATTCAGAGGCAGTGTTCAATCCA